GTTTGTAGCTTCGAGAACACTGTCCAACCATCTCGCCCTCTGTCGTCCCCTTCTCCTTGTGCCCTCAATCTTTCCCAGCATCAGGGTCTTTTCCAGGGAGTCTTCTCTTCTCATGAGGTGGCCAAAGTATTGGAGCCTCAGCTTCACGATCTGTCCTTCCAGTGAGCTTTATTTATATTATTCACACACAAAAAGAGTACACTTGAATTGCTTTAGAAGTCCACTTGGCTCTTAGAGCATTAAATTCATCCCCATCATTTAATGAGAGTTTTGCAACTTACCCTTATCAAATACCACAAACTTCTCTTTTCTTAAAGATGGATTTTTATCCTGTATCTTGAGGTATTTTAAACGATGAAACAAGTGTCAAACGATTTGACAGATATCTTGCTGTATTCTGTTTAATCTTCTTCCAATGTGACCTGTTACTTGTAGTATCCAATCCAGGTATTAATATTTTAAGACAGGCTGAATGTTAGAACCAAGTCAGCAGCAAAGTTCATGCAGGTGGAATTCCCCCCTCCCCCCTTCCCTTTTCATGGTCTGTCATTTAACAAGCCCATTTGAATAGTGTTCAGCACATTTATATTTCATCAATCTGATATTGCATGCTTGTATGTGAGTTATCTACAAGTGGTTTTGGCTAAGAGCTCAAGATTAGCTTTGTGAATACCTCCTGCTGAATTCAGCCCATTACCTTTAGTTAAAGGACGTTTTAGACAAGCTAATGGCACAGTAGAAGAAATACAGGTTGCTCAACATCAGTAGCTGACGCTCCTTAGATGTCTGATTTTCACAGACTGTTCTGCAGTTTAAATGGAACCTATATATTCAGAATAATCATGTTATACTTGAGACTGTTAGACATGTACCACTTCAAACTCTCAATAACTGTCTTGTGTAATAAATGTCCCACATTTAGAAAAGCTGCACTCCAGGCAAAACAGTCTGTCCTATCTCTTGGCTATGACCAGCAAGGCCTGCCCTATCATTAGACAGAGTGACATGACCTCTCTTGCTCACTGGTGCTAGGGGAAAACACTGGAAGCCACCTAGTTGTTCCTCCTGAGCCAGATGGAAGAGGGGGGGCGGGGAGAGAGAGAGAGAGAAAGAGAGAGAGAGAGAGAGATGGTCTAGTCTGCATGCTCTGCTGTCCTCAAGTGTGCTAAAGATGTTATTCTTCTTGCATGTATTAAAAGTAAGATTAAACAGCCTCTCCACAGAATTGGGTGAAGATACATCTTGTCCTTCACTTCAGGTAGCAAAATGTCTTGCACTGGTCCCGATTCCTAGAAGAGTGTCCTGGATTCTGGCTAAATATTGTCAGTTAACAAGTATTCGTAAAATGCAGCATTCCAAATACTGTACCAATAATTATATTGTTCTAAAGGCACCCTCTGTTGGATCTCCAAGAATATATTGTTTGGATGTTGTATATTTTATGCCAAGACTAGAAGGGGGAGCAGGTAGAAAACAGGGTAAGGAAGAGAGGTAGAGAAACAAAAAGAACTATGCCATATCCTCAAATGGTGTTTCCATTCAACTCAGAATTATTGAGGGAAACCTGGGCCTTTGTGGCATAAAAAGTTTGAAAAGACCCCTGCCTCCCCTCTGCAAATATCTGTACCAATAGGCTAAATCCTTGTAAGGTCCCAGATCCAGAAAACTAGAAACAGGCATTATACAAAATAGAGCTAACCCCTTCTCGCACAAGAACCCTAGGTACTAATTGCAATTTGCGTGTCGAGGTCCTCAGGGCCACCCCAATAACTCACACACCACACCAAATTTTTTGTTTAAGGTTTTTGGCATAATTTTGGCCACAACTTTATTAAAATACAAACATGTGAGTGGTTGCTTAGGTATTGGTTGCGACTAGCTGCCCCCACCGTGGGGGACAGACTGACATTCCGCACTCCTGTGAAAGTCAGAAAAGGGGAATACACTTGGGGGTAGCGACGGAGCAGGGAACCTGCCCTCAGCCCTCCCCAAATGCAGCCAGGAGCTCTTGCAATGGCCCGAGCCCCCTTGACAGGGTGGACAAGCAATAGTTAGCCCCTGATTCCTTTAACGGAATCCCTTGCAGCAGCAGCATTAGAGGGGCAGACACAGCCAATCCATGCCCCTCAACCAACCAAACCATAAACCAATGCCTAACCGCAACCTTACAAGTTGTGACGATTTGCTACGCAGTAGCCAAAAACCAAATGGCCCCAGCTAATCAGCCAGATGGACAAAATTCCTACCGGGCCCCTGCCCCAAGAGGAGACGACCCCATGACAGGCATAGCAACGTCAAAGCGAACAACCCTAATTCTAGGGAGGGGGGGACGGGCAATCCAATGCACGGACGAAAAGAGGAAGCCCTAGCCTTGTGCAAGGAGTTTTAGCATTTCTGGCTGTCAATCAACAAATGGCAACATTAGCTTCTTCCCAACAACAAGGGAAGCCCAATCGCATCAGTGGCCAACTGTCAATTAACCCGCCCCACAACTTTGGAGTGTCCTGGCAGCCCCCACTGCAACACGTGCTCTCCATGAAGGAGAACACGCTTTATCTGAACCTAGGTCTCCTACAGGTTATTGGTCCATGTGATCACATAACATCCACTTCCTACAAGAACCAGGTTAAAAACAGTGAGTCATCAGCACCGAAATATGGTCACCACCAGTGATTTTCAGGTCTCATGTTATGTGGGAAAGACAACCTGCATAATCTTCTTTTGCTTTTGCATTCCTGATTGGCTAGGATCACTCATGTGAGCAGTTCAAGAAGCATCACCCTCACTCTACTACCAGTGACATCAGAAGTAGCCAAATCTGATTGGCTATTACCTTATCATATCATTACAGGATCCCTTATTGTCTGGGATCACACTATGAAGGAGAAGGGAACCCTAACTAAAGAGAGGGAGTTGTCCTATAGCAGGGACAGATTGGGAAAACAATGGTAGTGAAGTGAATGCTTTTAGCACTAAGAGTTTTTCAGGAATAAATCAAGCTTTCCCAAATTACTTTTTCACCCTGAGACCAAAAGGGGTTGCAGTGCAACCCACTTACTGCTAATGCTTTTTGAGAATTACTTTTATCAATAATATGAAGGGTGCATCTTTTTTCGTATCAGATGACTACCAAGAGACGGATAGAGGAGAAAGAAAATGATTGCTGATGCTTTTACAAAGCTCAGGCTGCCATCCTATATCCACTTACTTGTGAGTAAGTCAGTGTAAGCTCAGTAGAACATCCTTTTGAATAAACATATATAGGATTGCACTGAAAATCATGTGCCATATTTTCATGCTTGAAGAAAGCAGATACTTTATTATGAATTGCTATCTAAATAAAATAGATCCATAATAATTTTAGGTTAAAATAAGAAGCCTCACAAAACAAGAAGTGAAATCTTGTAAAAATTATTTTACAAGCAGTACAGATCGCAAAACAAACTGCTTATTACAAAATGGGAAACTGTTTTTTGCTCTCAGAATTGAAAGTAAACAACAAAAGGTTTGCTTTCCAATAAATAATATTTGGCACTCTTAACCTGTTTATGCCCTCTTCTGCCCAATACCTCTGGGACTAGTAGTCAGCCACAGTTTATCCCACAAAGCTATTATTCCTTCAGAAAAATTGCTTGGAAATGAAACATGGCCTTTTTTCCAATCAAAAACTCTTTGGAAAGGAAAGGGCATCCTTTTGAAAGGGTCTGCATTTCTAAGCCAGCCCATTTTCTGCAGCAAAAAGTATGGGAGCTAGCAGAGTTTGTAAAAATGTCACATCCTTGAGGTATACACTGCTTTAAAACATAAATTCATGAAAAATGTCCATGTAACAATGATTGAACCATCTCCCTGTATGTAATGAGCAGAGTTGCACTACACTTAATTATTCTGGTTTAAAGCAGATGATATGTTGCCCTAGATAAGAAAGTGGAGATTTTCTTTGATTTTTACTTTGCTAAAAGCTCTACAAGTTCCTGTGCCAAGACTAAGTTTGATTATACTCAACCAGGAAGATTTTTAAGAAGAATGTTTTGGTGACAAAAGAAAAAGACACAAACTGGAAAGACCTTATGGGGGTGTATGGGAATGAAATCTAATTTTACAACCCAACTCCTTCTAAAAAAAACCACCCTATTAAAAAAATGATATAGCAAAACAAACACTTCTTAAAGCCTTTAATCAAATTAAACTTCTGCCTCCTTCCCATGTTAATTTGACAAAGTGGGGGAGCTCTCAAGTCTTAAGATGTACAAAGCACAAGATTCAAGGTATCTAAATGCTATAAATAAAATGCCTTCTCCTTATTCTGCATAGAAGATTGGCTCACTCTGAAATGTTAAATCTCTTTGGATGTTTGGACTGCACGCCTGTAACACCATTCTGACATTGTAGGACAAGTTTTAGCCCAGCGTGGTTTCAAGAACAGATGGTCTGCTGTCTTGCAAAACATGGGAAGCACTCAGCCTATGACAACATTTGTTCTTTATCTTTATCTGTGCCACTGAGCCACTGGTGGAAAAACAATGAAACATTAGTTCTCTGTGTTGGCTCCCCGTCTGATGAGCTATCAGAACTGAAACCTGTGGTGGATCTACACACAGGGGAAAAGCGCTATAAATAAGTCAGAAATTAAACCGTTATAACAAAAGAGGGGGAAAACGCTATGGAAAATCACTTATAAATTTTTCTTTTGCTCTCTAGAGCTATCTGTTGTTGAATGTTTATAACACATGCAAAATGCTGCTGTTTTTTTACTAATGTAGCCAAGTCCCAGAGACACAGTGGCGTAGCATGGGTTGTCAGCAAGTAATTTGCGCCCCCTAACCTGAGTGAGCCAGGTGGGGGCAGAGAGCTGCGAGTGCAAGCGCGCCCCCCCCCGATGTTGCGCCCGGTGCGGCCGGGCCCCCCTGCACCCCCCACGCTACGCCACTGCAGAGACAACTTCAAGGCAGCAAAGTAGTCTCAAGCACTGGACTAGACTGTGTCCCTGAGTTCTATCCCAGTCCTACCTGGATTGAACTTGGGACCTTCTGTATGCAAAGCAGATGATCTACCACTGAGCTATAGCTCTTCCCTATAAAAATACAACCTCCATGATCCACCTCTGCTCCATAATTTCTCTTTCTAGATGGGTGGCGCTGGTGGAGCTACTCTGTCTATCATTATCTCTCCAGATAGGCTGAGGCTGCAGAAGATCCTGTTGCCTAGACTAATGTAGCAGCAAAGATTGAGTGTTTTTAGTAGGAAACAAATTAGTATCATTATTAGTTGTAAAATCAGTAGCATTATGGGGTATCACATTGAGTTTAAAGATCACTTCCCCAAAAGGAAATCTTATTTCAAAAAAATATATACTGCAGTGGAATTGAGGTTGCTTCATTTGAAGTCCTGCAGAATAAACCCACTTGAATCAAAATGGAATGTATCTGTCTGAATGCACTAGGAATAAAATTCAATTTGTCACTAGATTGAACATTTGATATGAAGGAACAGTTACCTGAATCACCAGGAGAAGAGAGCCATGAGGCAGGCCAAGCGATGTTTTTGGAACACTTCTGCAAGGAATAGCCTTTAGTTAGTATCAGTGTTTAAGCTGCTATGCTGAGTCCTTAACCTCTTTTATTTCATTAAGAAATTTCTACACCAAACTCTGGAGGTTCCCAATGCAAAAGGTGCATCTTCACCCTCTGCTGAAAAGTGGAAAATGAACATCAGAGCAGATTATATTCCACAGCTTGGGGTTGCAAGACCCTCCAACTTCACCCTCTTATTCACTCACCGAAACCCTCCTCCAGTATACCAAAAGACAGGAGTTCTGCTAACAGGGAGTTCCCTGAAGCTCTCAACACCCAGGCAGGTCTATATGGAAATAGGTGCTCCTCTGGATATTTTTGGCCCAAGCTGCTTATACACTTATATATCAGTGTCAGCACACTGAACATGGTTTGCAACCTGTGCTAACCTGTTAAGACTGGTGTCTTAACCAGTAGTGTCAGTGAGCACCTTGGTTGTTACATTTGCACCAGTTGCAGCTTCCCTGTAGAGCACATTGCAATGATCAGCTCTGGATATTACCAGGGCACGCATCACTGTGGCCAAGCTTTCTCTGTTCATGAAGTGCTGTAGCTAGCTTTCGGTGGTGCAGAAGAACCCTCAAAATCATGATGATAAAATAAGTCAAAGATTTTGTCAAAATGCAACTTTGGGCTAAAACATCTAAGCAGTCGCCCCACCAAGTCCAATGTCCAACTGGGCACTTAGTCATGGTAGTTCAGCAACTCACACCAACATGTGCCAAGATACATCTTCAAATGTCTCTGGCAGAGAAAGGGAAGCAAAGACAGTAAAGATGATGTAGGTGGCATCTCATACATCATCTTACTCCTCTAATGAGCCCCAGGGATCAAGCACCACCATCAGGTATTTGGGGAGATCCTCCATGAGAGAGCTCACCAGGTCTTCTTAGTCATTGCAAGGATAGAGGTGGAGAGTAAACTAAAGATGGTAAAAAAGGCACCTGGAATGTCACTTCAGGCCCCAAGGATCAAGCAGCCACTGCTAACAAGGCATTCCAGGATTGGGCTTTGAGCAGATGCTGTGGGTTGTCTGGCCTAGTAAGTTAGGTACTTATTGATAGACTCACTGGCTCTTGGCCATTCCTGGTGAATTAAAAAGGCAGATATGAAATTATGGAAGTTCTACCCATAGTGTTGCTTTATTCTTCCAAGGAATCCCAGGTGTCAGGGAGCACCCCTGAAGCTTTGTACTGTGGACAGTCTGCCATTGGAGACTGAGGGACTCCCCCTGCCCTTCACAAAAAGATTCCTTAAGTTCCATTAACAAAGTTCCCATTAGTTTAAACGTCTGCATCAAGAAAGCTGGGCTGCACTGAACATTAAATGGTGTCTTGCCCCACTACTCGAACCCTATCCAGCCGCTCTGATGCGAAGTCACTTTCACTAGACTAGTTTGCCTTGGTGGCACCAGTTGATGGAAAACAGACAAATGGAAATAGACAATCTCAATGATTTTGGGAAGAAGTTAATTGGTCCATTATCCGTTAGAAATTCTGTCCTTGAAAATTTGCAGCAGAACTTTCAGCTAGCCCTATCCACTAATAATCTATGATCAAGGCCATCCCTTTCAGTGTTCACTTTTATGTGCTCCATTGTTCCTTAACCAATGAAAATCCCCTAAAATTACATTATACAGAGTATCATATCAGACAAAGGCAGTCTGCCAACAAGGAGATATTCAGAGTGATAGTAATCGAGATAAATACCTCCACTTCTTTGGTCAAAGTATTTTAGGTTGATTTAGCTAAGAATCAATAGACTCAAAAGGAGGAGGAGGGAGGAGGAGCAATGAAAGAGTAAATGAAAAGGAAACCTGGACTCTAGTATAGAAAATGTGGCTATTAATCAAATCTGGACAGAATAATTCAGTCATTATTGTGGATGGCCCATGGATAAATGGCAAACCCTCTATACGTACTTATCTAAGCAGCAAAGTCAAAAGAATCTATTGATTTAAAAACAAAGGGATGCTGAGTTTGTTGCATGGTAAAATTGAAAGCGAGTTCTTGAAAAGTGACTCAGTGCAGCAGAGGTTCCTAGTTATTCTCTCCACAGTAGGCTGTTAACATGTATAAAGATTACTGTGCTTGCTGTACAAGTACTTCTTGTGTATTCACCCAGCTGATAAAAATAAGATGAGAAATATGCAGTTTAATGTTTAGCATATTTACCTCTTCCTAGACGTTATTAGATAGCCATTGTTTTCAACAAACTCCATCGTAACTGAACTGTACTTTTCCCATCCAGTGTTTAAAAAGCCCCGCTGGCTACCCAATAACATTGTGTTATGTTCTTCACTTCAGTCAATGAACTTTAACAGAAACCAATGCATTTTAACAGAATTTTTGTTTATCTCAAGAAGCACATTTTAATAAAATCAATACCATCTTGCTGAAAGCCACAATGAATCTACTGGAAAGCATACATTGGTACTAAAACTAATATGCAGTTTTATAATGTCTGTATGTTTTAGAAAAAGCATGGCACTCCATTTTAACTGAAACCAATACAATTGTGTTGGGCTGATACCAAAGAAGCCATGTATTGGTTCTTAGTGAAGCCAATGCAATCTTTAGGGGGACAGTGGACATGATTTTCACCTCTCAACAGCTTCAAGAAAAATGCAGGGAGAAAACCAACCCCTGTATATGGCGTTTATTGACCTGACTAACGCCTTTGACACTGTAAATCATAATGCCCTGTGGACTGTCCTTCTGAAAATTGGCTGCCCAGATAAATTTGTGAGCATCATTCGCCTCCTCCATGATAATATGACAGCAACAATCACAGATAACAATGGCTCTCAAAGTGAACCATTCACAGTGGGATCAGGTGTTAAACAGGGTTGTGTTATCGCCCCAACTCTATTCATTATTTTCATTGCCATGATCCTACACTTGGTTGAAGGGAAACTCCCCACCGGAGTAGAAATCATATATTGAAAATATGGAAAGCTCTTTAATCTGAGCAGGCTGAAAGCAAAGAGTCAGGTTACTGTAACTTTCACCATAGAGCTTCAATATGGTGGTGTAGTGTGTGCACACTCAGAGGATGACCTCCAAATCATCCTAAATATCTTCGCAGAAGCTTATAAAAAGCTTGGCCTATCGTTCAACATCCAAAAAACCAAAGTGCTGCACCAATAAGCACAAAACAAACCCTGTGCAGCACCACAAATCCAACTCAATGGTGTAACATTGGAAAGTGTTGATCACTTCTCCTACCTGGGCAGTTATCTTTCCACCAGGGTCAACAATGATGCCGAAATCCAGCATCGCCTGAGCTCTGCGAGTGCAGCTTTCTCCCTATTGAAGTTCAGAGTGTTTGAGGACCAAGACATTTTCAGGAAAACCAAAGTGCTTGTTTTCAAAGCTATTGTACTACCAACCTTACTATATGTTTGTGAAATATGAACGCCATCTCCAACTCCTCGAAAGATTCCATCAACAGTGTCTCCGAAAAAATTTACACATCACTTGGGAAGACAGGCAAACTAATGCCAGTGTACTGGAAGAAGCAAAGATCACCAGCGTCAAAGCAATGACTCTTCAACATCAACTTTGTTGGACTGGTCATGTTGTTCAGATGCCTGATTACCGTCTTCCAACGCAACTGCTCTATTCTGAACTTAAAAATGGAAAGCGTAATGCTGGTGAACAAAAGTGGTTTAAAGATTCTCTCAAGGCAAATCTTTAAAAATGTAGTATAAACACCAACCACTGGGAAGGACTGGCCTGAGAGCGCTCCAACTGGAGAACAACCTTTAACAAAGGTGTCATGGACTTTGAAGACACTCAAACTCAGGACGAAAGGGAGAAACATGCTAACAGGAACTGTCACCCAGAAACCTATGTCCCCACTGTGGAAGGATGTGTGGCTCTAGAATTGGCCTCCACAGTCATTTATGGACTCACTGTTAAGACTGTGTTCATGGAAGACAATCTTGCTCGGCTACAAGTGATCACCAAAGAAGAAGAAAACTGCAAGGATGTTCCAGAGTATGCACTGTCAGACTTCACTAGTGCTGAATTTTGACGAGAAGCAAACATGTATTTTCAACATTATCAGGAATTCAATAGTACAGCAAACTGCATTTTTAGCACACACATCAAAATGTAGCAGATCATAAAAGGTGTGAGCCATCTGTTAGATCATAACATATTATCTGTTGCTACCACATAAAGGCACGTTATCAATCAGCAGTTGCACGAATGAAGGTTTATTTTTACTTCATAGGCAATTATTATTACATATTTTGTGAAACTGTCTTAAAACAAGTCAGACTGATTTACAAGTACAACCCCATAGCAATGACACAGAACCATTTCAGCTCCCATCAAATTCACGTTCATCTCTAGGATCTGAGGAAGGGGGGAGACAATGGACTACCCTCCCTATGTACCTCTTGATATTTCGTGTCTGTAAGGTTGGCCACACTTTGAAACTACAGTGGTGCCTCGCAAGACAAAATTAATTCGTTCCGTGAGTTTTG